TCTCTGCAGTCAGCTAAGAGATGGGTACAGGATTCTAGTATCTTGATGAACTCTCTCATGCGCTGCTTGGGCAGGGAAAACAACGCTGTCCTCTTTAATGATTTAAATGCTTCAGGGGATCATCCTGGGTGGTCCTCATGGTAGAGGAAGGGGTCCAGAGGGAGAATAGAAGGACTCAGACTCTGTTACATTTTCTTTTTTTGTGTGTGTTGTTTTTTTTTTTTTTTTTCTCCGGTACCAGGAACCGAACTCACGACCTTGCGCTTGCCAGGTAGGCGCTTTGCCGCTGAGCTAAATCCTCAGCCCATTTTTTTTGTTTTGTTTTGTTTTTTTGTTTTTTTCTGGTACTGGGAACTGAACTCACGACCTTGTGCTTGCCAGGCAGGCGCTCTGCCACTGAGCTAAATCCCCAGCCCCTCTGTTACATTTTATTGGCCAAAGCAAATTATAAGGCCACCTCAGACTGAAGGAGTAGTGAAGTATTCCACCTATTGATAGCAGAGAATATGTGTTATTACAAAGTATTACTCATAAGTGCTATAAAAAGGAAACAACCCAATTGTTCAACTGGTGAATGATGAAGACCTTTTTTTGTTGGTATCAGGAATCCAACTCAGGACCTTGCACTTGCCAGGCAGGTGCTGAGCTGTATCCCTGGCCCTTAAAGAGCATTCTATATAATTTTTAGGGAAAAAATCGTTTCATTATTGAATTGTGATTAGAGCTTGTCTGAGGCCTAGTGTCTTGCCATGAGGGCCGGCTATGGTATGCAGAGACGTAATTCCATGTCTCTCTGGTCATAGTTGAGGCCTCAGTGGTCTCATGCTGTCAGGCCCCAGGGCAAGATTGTATCAGCTGAAGACCTTCTGGTTCCTTGAGAACCCAGTAGTAATAACAATAGGGTTTCATCTTGGAGAAAGGACAAACTTCTTAACCTGCTACCTCTCCTCACTGTCCTCGTCAGCATGAAGAACCTCATCAGCATAAGGTCACTCCCACCATCTGAGTCCTCTGATAATCCCTCTGAGTATTGTGTACATTGAATAAACGGCGGCTAGCCCAGAGTGTCATCATCTTTTGCGCAACCTGAGGAACTGACCTCCAAATACGCCCCCCCAAATCCCCATCGCCATACTTCTGTCTTTTTTTACCCTTCACCTTATCCCTTGCCCTACCCCTCACTAGACAGATGGGGGACAGATTGGCCTCATAGATGCACTGATAAAGATAATCTATCCATACAATGTAGTTTCATTTATCAACAAAAAGCAATCAAGTACTGATATATGCTACAATATGGGTGAAACTTAAAAACAATATGGTAAGTAAAGGAAGCTAATCACAAAAAACATATTAAAAGAAACAAAAGATGACATTGTAAAATTCCATTTATATGACATATCCAAAAGACATGAATCTATAGAAACAGACAGTACATGAGAGTTTTTTAAGGTCTGAGGTAAGGAAAATAGGCTTTAGGGGTGATGAAAATGTTGCAAGATGAGATAGTGGTGGGCAGGGGACATAGTTCAGTGGCATAAATGTCTGCCTGGCAAGTGTAAGGTCTTGAGTTTGGTTCCTGGTACAAAAAAAAAAAAATTAGTGGTGATTTATAAATGAAATCTATAAAATTTTCACTGTTTTAGCATACGAGCTGCCGAAGACAGCACGGAAATATTCACTGTTAATGAATTTTCATCTCCTGTACAAATAATATATGAAATATATTTGAAATAACATATTAAACCTTATTGATTAAAACAATGGCTATTTCTATTAGACCCTTCCCAAAATAAAAGACCCTGTCAAAAAATTGGCAAGTGAATAGATGCTTCTCAGAATAACAAAGCTAGCAAGGCTGCAGGGAAAAAGGAACCCGGCTACATTGTTGCTGGGAATGTAAAGTAGTACAATCACCGTGGAAATCAGTATGGAGATTCCTCAGAAAACTAAAAATAGAAATTCCATTTGACCCAGCTATTTCCCTTCTAGGCATCTTCCCCAAAGAGCTAAAGACATTATATTACAGTGATACACACATACTCATATTTATAGCAGAACTATTCATAATAGCTGAATCTTGGGAGCAGCCTGTACATCCATCAAGAGATGAAAGGATAAAGAAAATGTGGTATAGGGGCTGGGGATTTAGCTCAGCGGCAAAAGCGCCTGACTGGCAAGCGCAAGGTCGTGAGTTCGGTTCCCGGTACCGGAGAAAAAAAAAAAAAAAAAAAAAAAAAAACAAAGAAAATGTGGTATTTACAAACAGTGGAATACTACTCTGCCAAAAAAAGATAAATTTGAGTTATGTGTAGGAAGACGGGTGCACCATACTGTTAAGTGAAATAAATCAGACACACAAGTTTAAGTATGACATAGTTTCTCTTATATGAGAAACCCAGAATATAAATACAGAGCAAAACAAAAGATAATAGGAGGGAGATAGATTTATCTCAAATGGGAAGATCAGGAGATGGAGGGAGGGAGGGGACAGAGTGGGTGAAAAAAGAATTAAAATGTGTTATGTACATGGACCAGCTCCCCGCAGGGAATGTCAGCGTTATGTACTGCAAACATGCACTAATAAAAAATAAAATAATGGCTATTTATTTTTTGGAGGAGATAAGTATGTTTAATCTGATTAAACATTACACAATGTCTGAGTTGTTTTGTTTTGTTTTGTTGTTTGTTTTGGTTTTTTTTTTTTGGTACTGGGAATCAAACTCAGGACCTTGCACTTGCCAGGCAGGCGCTTCTGCCACTGAGCTATATTCCCCGCCATAAATGCTACACTATGTATACATGTATCAAAACATCATATTGTACCCCACAAATATGTACGACTCTTGTTTTGTGTATTAGTTAAAAATTAACTGCTGGGTATGGTAGCACATGCCTGTAATCCCAGCACTCAAGAGGCTGAGGCAGGAAGACTGCTGTGAGTTTGCGGCCAGCCTGGGCTACAAAGTGAGTTCAAGGCCAGCCTGAACTGCACGGTGAAACCGGCTCAAAAAGACCAAAAAAGAAAAAAAAAAGCTTTATGAAAAAAAGTGTTCCAGGAATGGTAATTTCAATTCACCTGAGAGAACCTTCTTCCCTTAGTGGGAAATGACTCTTCAATGCTTAGAATTTAAGATATATAGATAATGAAATAAACCAAAGTTAACACTGGCTATTTCTAAAGGCGGGTTTTATTTTTTGAATAATGTCCTTTACGCCCATTTCCTGCCCTCCCTCGGCAGACAGTTCTGAGATATGCACCAGGCTTTGGGTCCAAGTGCAGTTGGCAACACTCCAACATGGCCTTAGAAGAAAACTCAATGAATGTAGGAAATTATACTTCAGGGGCTGCTTTCCAGGCCCTTCAAAGTTCGTTTACAGGGGCTGCCTATCATCTCTTCAGAAGATGAGCTTGGCTTCTCGTGTCACTTTACCCAGGAAGACAGTAAAATGTGCTTAGATCACCTGCAAGGTAATTGCTTCAGTGGTGCTTTACAGTTTACAAAGACATTTTTACATGTTTCTTACCCCTTCCCCAACCACATTGCAGGACAAGTAATATAATGGAGATTCTGAGATGCCAAGAGACTTCAAAATATCTCTCAGCTAAGGGGCTGGGGATTTAGCTCAGCGGCACAGCGCCTTGCCACACAGCCTGGCAAGTGCGAGGTCGTGAGTTCGATTCCCGGTACCGGGGGAAAAAACAAAACAACAACAAAAAAACCCAAAAATCTCTCAGCTAATATGGAGCAGAGTTCCTCCTGAATATCAGTCTTTCAATTTCCGAATCACCTATCTGACCTCTGTACCATGATGGACTTGTGCTTACCTGATGCACAGTTTAAAGGCCCCAACAGGTTCAGGTGAGAAATTTTCCAAGGTTTGCAGTGCAAGGGCAGTTTAAAGAAGTGTTTCTACGATTAACCACTCCACATGATAATCTGTGTCTTACTGCCTTATTCTTCAAGAGCAAGTGTATCTGGGACAACTTTGTTTACCTGGCTTCCCTTAACTACAGGTCCTATTTTTCTTTAGTATTCAGGTAACAAATACCTACTGACACCCACTCAGAGCCAGGCCCCGGGAGTTCTGAGATGCTTCCATCACTGTCCCACCGTTTAGGGCTTTACCACCCAATTGCAGATGACATACTAAGTCTAATTCTGTCTTGGGCTGAGTGCGGCATCAAAATATGTGCAAGGTGCTCGGGTTGCATAATCCGCCTGGAGAATCAGAAAGGTTTTCTAAAGGAGGTGACATCTGAGCTTCCCCTTGCACAATAAGTAGGGTTGTGACAGACTAAGAAGATAGAGAACTCTCTAAGGAGTCAAGTTGCATAAAATCTATCTCTGAACTTCCCGTCTCCCATATGCCAGGTATCTATCCTGTGTTTATTATTTCGAGATAGCAGTCACTATTCCCCAATTCCTCCCACACATATACTTTTAAACTGTCAGAAAGGTCTTTTGGATGATTCATATTCTAGCACAGCTAAACCACATCTGTTTGTAATCACTCAAAACCTAATGGCCGGGGCTGGGAATTTAGCTCAGCGGCACAGCGCCTGCCCAGCAAGCGCAAGGTCGTGAGTTCGATTCCCGGTACCGGAGAAAAACCAAAAAACAAACAAAAAACAAACCTAATGGCCCCAGCTCTATTAACCACAATTGGCTGGTCACAGTAAATGTCCCAAACAAGTCTATGCTTGCTTTAGAATGGAACATCTCTCAGACTTGCTTGTTATGTGGACTGGACGGACTAGGGTCTATACCTCCTAATACTCACTACAATCTAAAATCTCTCCAGCAGGAAGGGTGCTATACTAAAGAATAACAGCAGGCAGGACACAGAGAACTCCATAAGATCAAGGAAATCATTCTTAAATTTAAGACTCAAAAAATCTATGATGTAGTAAATGCCTTTGCTTCAGAGAAATACCATAAATAATTCCTATAGTTTTAAAGCTATTTCAAATTCTGAAGGCTTTGCTTGTTTCTTAGAAAATCAGGAAATGGATTTTGAGCTCAGAAAAGTTGAACTGGCTTCAGATTAGAAAAAAAAATCAGTGTCAAAACGTAAGTACGTAACTTTATCTGGGAATGAAATAAAGGTTAGCAGGAAAGTTAGCATCACCAACAAGGTTTATTTTTATTAACTTATTTATTTTTGGTCTTTTTGAGACAGGGTCTCACTATGCAGTTCAGGCTGGCTCTAAGCTCACTTTGTAGCACAGGCTGGCCTCAAACTCGCAACGATCCTCCTGCCTCAGCCTCCCAAGTGCTGGGATTACAGGTGTGCGCCACCATGCCTGGCAAGGCTGATTTTTAAAGGCTGATGACAAATCTGAAAAAGAAGACTGTGGTAAAGAGATCCAGAGAATTAGGAATATTCCTAGAACTAGCTCTAGGGTAGTACATATGAAATAATTCATGTGCTCACTGACTTCCCATTTCTGAAATTTTATTATACACTGATTGCAAAAAAGTTAGATGAGGAAGGCACGGTGGTACATGACTGTAATCCCAGCTATGTACTCAGGAGGCTGAGGCAGAAAGATCGTAAGTTGGAGGCCAGCTTGGGCAACTGAAACCCTGTCTCAAAAATAGCATTTTACAAAAGGCTTGGAATATAGCTCAGTATGAGACCCTGGGTTCAATCCCTACTATTGGGGAAAAAAAAAAAAAAGTGCACGTAAGTGAAAAATGGAAGAAAACAGATTTTTACTGTTATGATCCAGGGATACTATTAATCTTACGTGAATAACCTTCCAGATTGTTCTCCATGAAGAACAGTCCTACATAATACATTTCCCCCCACGAAAATCAGATAATTATGCACACCGCATCTGGAAACTCAAGTTTCTTCATTTGGTACCTAGAAATTTTTCCAGGTCAAGAAACCCTTCCGATGTGTACCTAAATATTTTTGATGGCTGCAGAAACTGTTCATTTTGAGGAATGTACCAAAATTTAGCCATTTGACTGTCATTAGCAAGAAAGCTATTTCCAGTTTTTTGTTAGTAGAAATAAACTGTAATGGGCTGTTTTGACAAATCTTTGTACAAATAAAAGGCTACCTCTCTCAGTCCTGCAAAACACTCTGGACCAGGAGTAATTCTAGCGTTCAAGAGGAGATCGCCCAGCGGATGTTCCAAGGCCTCACTGCTAGAGGTGTCCTGTCCCAATCTCTAGAGATCATATCACCACAGAGTAACCCAGTTCAGGGTACAGCATGTCCTGACTCTTGCCTTTTTTTTTTTTTTTTTTAGGACATGACAAAAATCAGTGTAAAAAAGGAACAGTTAGCTAAATTCTAGGACTTTTCAGAAATGTCTTTTTCATAAAACTGAAAAGTAAACATTTTGCATTATTTATTAGCATCACATTTACAGGACCACTTGCCTTCAGGCTTCCTGTCTGGCAGAATTCAGGTTTGCTGTGGGAAAGGATGAAGCAGAATCTTGTAAGAGTGAAGATCTCTGAGCAACTAAGATAAAACCTCTAGTCAAAGCAAACCAGACCCAGAATATAGCTACTGGGTCTGTTACATTTACATTACTGTTACATTCTCCCACTTTTTTTTTTTCCGTTTTGAGACAGGTCTCACTGTGCAGTTCAGGCTGGTCTTGAACTCACTTTTGTAGCCCAGGCTGGCCTCAAACTTGCAAGGATCTTCCTGCCTCAGCCTCCGGAATGTTGGCATTACAGGTGTGCACCACTACACCTGGCTCCCACCTTTTTATCTCCCACACTTTTTCGTGTGTGTGTGTGTGTGTGTGTGTGTGTGTGTGTGTGCGCGCATGTGTATGTATGTGTGTTTAGACAGGGTATCACTATGCAGTTCAGGTTGGCTTGAACTCACTTTGTAGCCTGGCTTGCCTCAAACTTGCAGCGATCCTCCTGCCTCAGCCTCCCGAGCACCTCTTTTGTTGGTAGGGGTGTGTGTGTGCACTTGTGCACTACTGGGGATTGAACCCAGATACTGAACTACATTCCAAGCCTTTTTTTTAATTTGAGGCACAGTCTTGCTAAGCTGCCAGGACCCCTTGCCTGGCTTCAAATTATTCTTTTTGGTCACAGTTTTGCCAGATAACCATTTTAAGCCTTTTATTAAAGCAGTTAGTGTCACTTCCCCTGTCTGGAATTTGGAAATATACCTCTGGAATATTTGGGATGAGACTGCCATTTTTATGTTTTGATTGTACTCCAGAATTTTAATTATAACATATACATATAATTACTCATTTCCGTATTTCTAAGTAAGTTATCCAGTCTTCTTCAAATAGTTAGAAGAGAATAAATTCCTGCAGAAAAAGGATACCTCAGATTTTGGAAGAGATCTATCCCTCCATTGGAACGGTTCCCCAGAATCCAGAACACTCACTGGCCAGCAGGGCCTTGTCTAAGGTAAGCCCACAGTTCCTAAGATTTTCTCACACAACGAAGTGCTGCATCTCAGCTGTTGGCAACTCAGACCAAGGCATCATTTTTAAAGAACATTTTCTTTTCTAGGAAAGACACCCATTGGGGATCTTTGCAATATTTAGTTTTATGTTTAACTGATACTTAGTTCTCTAGGTAACTTGGTAATTAACATACTCTGCCTAAAATCCACAGAGTCGGTTTAGTAAGTTGTGTGTTTGGATTTCTCCTGAACCCAGTCCGATCAAAAGTCTGTATGGAGATCTAACATGAGTTTTCAAGCCCTTTTAAAACTCTGTTACTTGCTATGAAATGCCAGAATGAGTCTACTAAGGCAAGACCTTTCCAGGTGTTGAGACAGACATTAAAACAATGGTGTATCGTGATTAAATAAGTTTTTATTGTCACATTTAACTGCTTTGTCAGAGATACATTGTAGATTTCAGTATGGCATAAAAATAAAATATTTTCCTGAATGTCAAAATCTGAACAGAAGAGATGGCAATGGCACTTAAAAAAAAAAATTCACTCAGGTGCTGAAGCTGCTAGTAGGCTGCTGATAAAAACTGGAACACATCTGCAGATAAAACGATCTGCAACATTTCAAATAAAATGGCAGTGGTGTAAGGCCAACAAAACCAGGAGAGCAGTTAAAATACAGACCCCAAGGAGTACATATCCAAAGAATGGCAGTCTTAGCATTTCAAGTCCATATTATATTGTCTGATTTAGTTTTGGAACTGGAGTTCACGAATAAATGTCTATCCTATAAAATGAAACTATTCTTTTGAAACTGGATTTTAAACTTCTTTAACAACTTCCTTATTCGTACAGGTTTTAGCTAGTCCAGAGGAAGGGCAGTTCAGCTCCAAGTATTAACTTCATAGGTTGACCCACAAATGGTGGGTCACGCCGTTTCCAAACCTGGAGCCCAACATACCCAAGAATGTCTTAGTGGTTTCACACATTCTGGGCAAAACTACAAAACAAGTAGTAATTAATTAAATAAAAGTATAAGTGCATCCCAACAGTCTCTACACATTCCGCAGTTATCCCCTAAATGGCAACTTAAAAAAATAAGTATAGTTATTCAGATTTCAAACAAATCTTTTTCATTAAGAGTCCCAAACATTTTATTAAGTGTATTTCCTCCACAAATAAAACTAACACTAGGATTTGTCAGAAGATCTAAGTGAGTTATATCCCTTATATGAATTCAGCTGAATCACTGTATCTGGAATCTGTTCATCATAAAACTCAGGTCTGGCACATAATTCCTTTTTGTCACCCACTGCTGTGTGTCCCTCCTCTGAGACTCCAGAACAGAGACCATAATGCGCTAGTGCAACGAGACAGTCACTGTCATCCAACAAAAGGAGAGTAATGAACTTACTTGATGACATACTTATTGGATGATTTACTGGTAATTAGTATTTCTACTTCTTTTTAAAAGGCAACCATTTCAAATGACAATACAGATCAGGCTAGTAGAGAAAAGTTGAAAGAGAGCCCTCTCTTTGATCTCACAAAGTCATGCAGACAAGAGAAGGTAAGTATATCTGATTTGTTCGAATCAGGCTTCTTGGAATTAACAAAATTTCTTTTCTCATGAAGATGAATTTGGCTCATCATAGAAAGAAGCTCTTTGAAGGCTGCTGCTAAACTTGCTTCCCTTTGAAAAAGTCAATTTCAAGGCATGATAGTGCAAGAGGTAAGTTTTTGATTTATAGAACATTTATAGACTAATTGTGCTTAGTCTCTAATTTCCAATTTATTTTAAAGACCGGAAACTACACTGATAAAGTTTCATTTTTCCTAAATTTACCAGTACATCCATGAATCGCACCAGAATTAGGACAATTTGATTATCTTAATGATTCTGTTCTGAACCTGCACCTTGCGTCTCAAGGTGAGAACCACCGGACGGAGGTTCTAACAAGTTCTGTGCACAAGGACTTTCCTCTTGGGAGCCAAGGTATCAGAGAAAGCAGTTCTCCCCCCAGATTGAGTCCTCAACAAACTCTCAATAAACAATTACGAAAAACAGTCCTAGGCGGAGAGTTTTTTTTGTTCAGTTAAATCTGGGAGGTCTGAGTGTTCCTGGGGTCCTCATCAGGATGTGTCGTGGGTCGTGAATCCTTTGAATGTGAGAATTCACTATTAGAGGGCTCTGTAGGGTCAATCAAATTTTCATAATCACTGTCATCTGATTCCTCACCACTGTCTCCAGCTGCTCTTTGGGAAGGAAGGTCTGCTCCACTTCCAGGATACTTGAGTCCGGCACTGGTGGAAGCATAACTGGAAGAGCCCACGGCTTGAGGTCGAGGCATAAAGACACTCCTTTCCATGTGAGAGTGGCTCAGAGTACTTTCTTGATTGTTTGGGTGAAAATCTGAGTAAGGAGGAGGGGGATCAGAGGGTTCTGCATCTGCAAATGTACTTCTACCTTCAGCTGCAAACCCAGAATAGGGCATCCGAGGGCTGAATACTGGTTCCAGACTTTCAGATGGCATCTGTCTGCTTAACATAGCCTGCTGCAACCCTGGGGAAAACAGGAAGCACAGCATAAACACTGTACATTTTCACAGCTTTTCATCTCAATGTATTACGCCATCCACCGAACGTTTTTTTTTTTTTGTCTTTTTGAGACAGGGTCTCGCTATGCAGTTCAGGCTGGCCTTGAGCTCACTTTGTAGCTTAGGCTGCTCTTGAACTCGCAATGATCCTCCTCCCTTAGCTTCCTGAGCACTGGGATTATAGGCGTGTGCCACCATGCCCGGCTGAACCTTCTTCAAAATGCAGCAAGGCCATGAAATCAATTGTTAGTATTATTTTATAGTTACTTAATCTTATAATTTATAAAATATTTCCTTATACGTTAATTCATTTAAGCCCCACAACAACCTTCTGAGGTGTTAGTATCATCATTAGTTACCTTTTTCTTTGGTTTGGTTTTTTTGAGACAGTGTCTGACTATGTAGTTCAGAGTAGCTTTGAACTATGTAGCCAATTAAGCTGGCCTCTAACTCCTGCGAATCCTCCTGTCTCAGCCTCTCAAGTGATAGGATTACAGGCATGCACCACCACACCCAGCATGTTTCCTTTTTAAAAAAATGGTATTGGGGCTTGAACCCAGGGCCTTCACACTGAGCTATACCACCAGCCCTTTTTGCCCTTTTTGTATTTTATTTTGAGACAGGGTCTAAGTTACTAAATTGCCCAGGCTGACCTCAAACATGAGATTTTCCTGCCTCAGCCTCCTAGAGTGCTGGGACTATAGGCATGTATGCCTGGCTTGTTTCCATTATATAGGAAAAGAAAATACATTCAAAAAAGGTTAAGTGATCTGACTAGAAGTGAGACTCTGAAATGTAGAACACTGGTTTCATCCCTTCAGATCCTGTGCAAAACTTTACCCTCCTGTTGCTCACTGCTCAAACACTTGGGACAGAAGGATGAAAGTGATCGCTGCCACCTGTACAAGTTGTGTGAATGTGGGATTTTCCCTTGATAGCTTCACATCAAATACCGTATTTCTTTACAGCCACCTGTCACAGTGTACTTGTGTATCTCTTCCTTAAAAGTTTAAAACCTCAGTGTCAGCCAGTTTTCCAGGTCTTGGACCACAATTTACAGTGTTTTAGGAATGCTGCAAAACAACCCACAACTATCAGTCTATGTACCCTTAAAATTATTTTAGGGGTTGAGGATACAGCGCAAGCACTTGCCTAGCAAGCACAGGCCCTGCATTTTATCCCCAACACCATCAAAGAAATTTTATATTACAACAAATATTAGACTATATATATTGGATGTTTACTAAAATTCACTGCAATGGCTGCATAGTATTCCATCATCTGTACATACAAAACTATGTAATTTTTATTTTTAAATTATAACTTGACAAATTATAGTTGCATATATTTCTATTGTACCATATTTAGTCAACTATTCTGTTGTTATTGATTCAACTACTTTAAATCCCTGTCTATACTTCTGGTTATTTCTAGAAAAATCTAACAGTAAAAATGAATCAGATATCACTATCCTAGAAATACAAGTTATACATGTATTTTTTTGAGACAGGGTCTCACTATGCAGTTCAGGCTGGACTTGAGCTCACTTTGTAGTGGAGGCTGGTCTGGAACTTGCAATGATCCTTCTGCCTCAGCCTCCCAAATGCTGGGATTACAGGCGTGCGTCACCATGTCTGGCATAAATTACATTTTAATCAGATTAAAGATTCATATTAAATTAGAAAAGTTCAGCCATAGCCTTCTTTTACACTTGACATTATTTACCATATATTTTATAAGTTTTATGTGCAAATGTTGAATCTGGTGGTATTATAGCCAACATGTTGTTACTGTGCTGGAATTATTAGATTCTTGGGCCCAACTTTCATTCTACCAGCTGATTCCTTTTGTTTTTTAAAACAGCTGATTCCTTAGCTTAATCATATCCATGCAACCACACTACAAAAAGGCAGACATTTCAAGTCTTCATCATGACATATGAATCAAACACCATGTTAAAGAATTTTAGATTGTCCATTTACGTGGCCTTAATGAACATAGGACACCATCTTACAAGTCAGGCACACAAGGCTAACTTGAATAGCAGCCCTCCCAGTCACTGCAAACTGATTATATTGGTCAAGAGAGACATGAATCTATGTCAAACTTTTTTTTTTTCTGGTACTGGGAATCCAACTCACGACCTCACGCTTGCCAGGCAGGCGCTGTGCTGCTGAGCTAAATCCCCAGCCCCCTATATAAAACTTTTTGAATTTGTCTTAAATTCTACAGCTTTTCTACCTTTGGTCCTTTCTGTTTCAGAGGACTGAGAGGGAAATTTTTTTTTTTTTTTTGAGATAAGGTCTCACTACATAGTTTAGGCTGGCCTTGAACTCACTATGTGGGCCAAACTGGCCTTGAACTCATGGTGATCTGCCTGCCTCAGCCTCCCAAGTGCTGAGATTACAGGCATGTGACACTATACCCCACTGAGAGGGAAATGTTAATGACAGGAGAGTGCCTTCCCCTAACCAGGTTAACTTCAGGCTTTAAGTACGGAGCTCAATTTGATATAGAAGACTAATTTCTGCCGGGTGTAATGGCACATGCCTGTAATCCCAGCACACTGAGGAGGTTGGGGAGGAAGGATCCCTGTGAGTTCAAGGCCAGCCTGGGCTACAAAGTGAGTTCAAGGCCAGCCTGAAGTACATATCAAGACCCACTCTCAAAAAAGACAAAAAAGAAAAAAAGACTGATTTTAAATAGGTATCATTTTCTTGAGGCTGAATAAAATTAGTAGGAAACTTACTTCTTTCTTGTTCCTTTTCATTTTTCCTCTGAGTGATTTGTCTTCTTAATTTATTCACTTCTGCCTGACAAGATTCAACAACTCGCTCACTCTTTTCTACATCTGCACATACTGCCTGAGAAAAAGTCACAACAAGAAAGGTTAGCTTCAAAAAAAAAAAAAAAGAAAAAAAGAAAAGAAAGGAAGGGTAGCTTCAAATCTAAGCATGAGGCATTATATAAATTCAGCCTTGTTACAACTCTTGGAAAAACCCCAGGTGTGGTGTTTTGTTTTTAGTCTTGAAATCATAGCAATCCTCCTGCCTCAACTTCCCCAGTGCTGGGATTGCAGGCATGCACCACTATGCCTAGCTGCTCTCTTAATTTTAAGACAAGCAAGCAATTTGACTTATAAATTCTTTTTTTTTTTTTGGCATCAGGAATCACACTCAGGACCTGACACTTGCTAGGTCGGCGCTGTACTGCTGAGTTATAGCCCCAGCCCTCGACTTACAAATTCTTAAAACATAGAAGATGGGAAAGAAATAATCTTTTCCCTCGATTAAATCATCTTTATTGTAATAAAAAGGAGGGATATAGCTCTGTGGCACAAGTGCCTGCCTGGCAAGTGCAACGTACTGAGTTTGATTCCTGGTACCAAAAAAATAAATAAAATAAAAAAGAGAAATGTTTGGACCAGTCTAGCTTTCAAAGGAAGAACAGAAGACAGAAAAGTAATGCTTTTCCTGGTACTCAGGAGGCTGAGGCGGAAGGATTGCTCCAAGTTCAAGGCCAGCCGGGGGTACAAAGTGAGTTCTAGACCAACCTGAACTGCATAGTGAAACCTTGTCTCAAAAAGACAAAAAAAAAGTGATGCTTTTAACTTTTATTTATAATTACATAAAATAGAAATAGTAGAAAATAATTTTTTGTTTTGGTTTGTTTTGGTTTTTTTGAGACAGGGTCTTGCTAGGTAGTTCAGGCTGGTCTTGAACTCATGACGATCCTCCTGCCTCAGTCTCCCAAGTGCAGGTGTGATATCATGCCCAGCTAGTAGAAAATAATTATGAGGGAAATCTAGAAAGAAAAATAAGCTTCAAAGCTGAGATTTAATAAAAATGCCAGGCGTGCTAGTGCATGCCTGTAATCCTAGTACTCAGAAGGCTGAGGCAGGAGGATCATTGCAAGTTCGTGACCAGTCTGGGCTACAAAGTAAGCTCAAGGCCAGCCTGAACTGCATAGTAAGACCCCATCTTAAAAAGAAAAAAAGAAAAAAAAAAGAAAGACAACTCCATGAGACTATGTCTACATAATCCAGACATTAACAGTAAGAACACTAAGAGGTACTGGTGTTTTCAGAGCTAGCCTTGACTTAAAGTCAATAAGGAAATGTGCAGAAGCCACTTTGAAGTCTTTTGGCCAGTGCTGATAGTCAGAAAATGGCAGGGTCATGAATTCAGGACAAAAAGCTATTTTCCGCTGCACATTCCTTCCATAGCAGAAACATCAGAAACTTCCCGAAAGTCAGCTTGGCACCGACCGGAGATCCTGTATTGAGTTCCCTGTGCTGTGCAATGCAGTGAGCCTAATCTGGAATGTGCGCACTGGAAACTGCCTTGTATGCTTTCTCCTTTTGCTCAGGCTGCACTGTCTGCTTTTGCCTATTTCAGATGTTGTCTTCATTTCTCCTAGAGCTTCTTACAACTGAGCTTTCTCCAAGCCTAGAACAGCTTCCTCTACTTCACTGCTTTCTTCTTTGTCCTTAACACCAACTTCAATGTCTCCTTTGTGTCCAGGACTCAGGGCAAATAACTCCTAATAAAATTATCAGGAACGAAGAAAAGAATGTGGGAAAGTACTATTAACGCCAAGCACAGAATCTGGCTCATAGGAGATGATTCCATAAATATTTGTTGCATGAATGAGTAAAAACGAACAGGCTCTACTGCAATCCTCCTACTCCGTGGAGGAGGCAGGGGCAGAAGGACAGGGCCTAGAACGGGGGAAGTGGCGATAAAGCTGTTGAGGACAACTGTGCTCTTTAAACTCAGAATCCATTTACCTAGGAAAAAATACTATGACCCAATGAAAGTGTTTAAAACAGCAGTATGAATAATATGCTTTAGGTTTCTACTTCAGGCACATAATGAGTGAGGTAAGTTTGTAGGTGGGCATGATTAACTACTCCTCAGATCTCATATTATTTTAGGAAAGTACACTCTTGACTTTTGGACCACAATGCATTTATCAGTTGAAAGATTATAAAAAATTAAAACAATTAAAAAAGCATTTGAACAACAGAAGTGAGAACTAGTAAATAAATTACCTGTACTTTCTCCTGAAGCGCATTATAAACCTGATAGATTGCCCTGATGTCTTTCATTACTCCATCCTTGTCAAAAAAGTCAGTACTAAAAGACAGACAATGTCACAAAGTTATTAAGACTACCATGAACCTGAAAGGCATTTTTTCTGTCAGTTCTACTTTAATTGTTAATTAACTCTTGTGCCTCCATGGTGAAAATGTCCAAGCAATGACACGCCCTTCCTATTAGAATTACAGAGAAATGAAAAAAAGCCCACGTCACCGAGACAATTTAGACCATGATTAAAAAGTTATACATTTTTCAGTGACTACATTCAGCTTCTAGGACCTGAGAAATATACACACCCTGTCCAAAGTTTTGTATCAAGTATTAAAAAAAATATTGTGGCACATTATAAATAGTAAAAGTACATTACCTTTTGAATAAGAATAAAACTTTGATATATGGTGGTAGTGGTCTAGAGAACTACTTTCCTGGATTCTTCAATTTCAGTCATAATAAACTTGATTTTACAATTCTTTATGCATTTAAAAAATATTTTGATAAAAATATTTTACCTTTTTACTTACCCGTGTTCTTTAATAACTTTGGCGTAACTCTGAGAAGTATTTGGCACTGAAGACACTTTGTACTCTTGTTGGCTAGTATTGCCTAGATTGGGGATAGTAAGTGATATCCTTTGATTATACCTATTGAAAAAATTGAGAAAGAGAACAAGTTAAAAGTACCACTGTTTTCTTTTGCTTTGTTTGAGACAGTCTCATTGTTAACAAAGCTAATCTGAAACTCATGGGCTCATACTTCTGCGTAGAGGTGTGTGTCACCATGCTTGGTTTTAAAAGCACCATTTCTCTTTTTTTATTTTGCAATTTTTTTGGGGGGCGGGTACTGGGAATTGAACTCAGGACCTTGCGCTTGCTAGGCAGGTGCTGTGCTGCTGAGTTATATCCCCAGCCCAAAAGCACCATTTTAAGACGGGCTTGAAGCCAAGTGATGAAATGAGAGGTGCATGCCATCATGCTTGGCTTTAAAAACACCATTTTAAGAATAGGGCTTGCAGGCTGGGCATAGTGATGCATGCCTGTAATCTCAGCACTCATAAAGCTGAGGCAGGAGGATCAATGCAAGTTCGAGGCCAGCCTGAACTGCATTGTGAAACCCCAACTCAAAAAGACAAGACAAAAAAAAGGGAGGGGACCTTGAAACTGAGAACGGTGGCGAACACTTATAATTTTAGCATTCTGGGAGGCTGAGGCAGGAGGATCTCAAGTTTCAGCCCACAAATCCCATCTCAAAATAAAAAGGGCTAGGTGTATAGCTCAGTGAGACATCCTAGATTCAATCCCTATTCCTGGAAAAAAAAAGGAGCAATAGGATTCTTAATCTGACATGGGGAAACTAACAGAAGGTGTCATTTTGCACCTAATTCTTCAAGCACCTCAAGGTTGCATGAATTAGCTATTTTTCTCTTTAAGTAGAACTGACTGCAAATTCCTTAAGAGCTGAGGTCATATACATCTTTTGAATCCCCCATAGCAAAAGACAAGTACTCAAAAATACCTATTAAGTAATTAATAAAATCTTGTAAAGTTATTCAACAATTAATAATTTTTTCACTGACACTGACTTAATATTTTCTTCTATAAGTGAATTCCCAGAGGGAAAACTTTCTGTTGTTTATAAGCAGATAACATCATCACATAATCACATCTTTCACTCCAACAAGTTTAAAATGCAAAATCTTCATTAACCAGTAGGTGGATCGATTTTACAATTCTGTGTTTGAAATCTATGTTCTAAAATTACAGTCAGAGTTTTAAAGCAATAAAGAGCATTTCTACACAACGGACTATGGAGATGCAACAACAATTTACAGCATTATACATTCTATCACCTCGAAGAGAACCAGCTAAAGAGAACGATAGAAACCCTGCTTCACAGGTGCGGTACCGTGCACTATAATGCGCATTTTCAAAGGGACGACTCTCAATTACGTGTGCCAACATCTTTCCCTTCATGTGAGGCTGGCGGGAAAGCTTACTTTACCTGCGATTTGGTCTGAAGAGAACATACTCTAAAGCATGAGTGGAATTGTTGGCGGTGGAGATGAAGCTGAAGAGAAGGAAGACGAGGTCGGGCACACCGAGGATGCGGGTGAGCTGCTTATGGAGAACCTGTTCTCTGTATGACATCTGCTGCTGTGTGTTTCGCCGGAATCTGTACCATCCAATGACTTTCTACAATGAAAATGAGGAAAAAGTATTAAAGGTTGCATGATCTAGGTGTGGTGGTGCACATCTGCAACCTTAGGACTCTGAGAGGCTGGTAAGAAGGATTGCAAGTTCAAGCCTAGCCTGGGAAACATAGTGGTTTAACAATACGCTGTTTCAAAACAAAAAAAAAGGCTAGGGTTATAGCTCAGTGCAAAGGCTCTTGGTTCAATTCCCAGTACAAAAAGGAAAAAATTACATAAAGACTTACAAATTGAATTTTCAATATATCTATATAAGCACTTGTACAGAAATGTTCACAGCAGATCAGCCCATAACTTAAAACAATCCAATTGTCCATCAACAAGTGAATGGATTTTGTATATACCCATACATTGGAATCCTACTCAGTAAAAAAGTACTGGTATACACAACATGGATGAATCCCAAAATAATTATGCTGAAAGAAGACAGATTTTGGGGGTGGGACATAGCTAAAGGATTCTATTTGTATAAAATTCTGGAAAACAAAAACCAATCTATGGGGATATAAACAGTTTAGTGGTTGACAAGAAGGTGGAAAGAGGTGAGAAAATGGAATTAGAAAAAGACACAAGGAAACTTTTGCAGGGGATGGGTATGCTCATTACTGTATTAAGGTGATGGTTTCATGGGTGTGTACATAGATCAAACTAATCAAAAACATACACTTGAAATGGGTGATGTTTATCATCTGTCAATTATATTCTAATACCTAACAACAGAATAACTAAACTGGCTAAGTGAATTAAAATCTTTACAATACTTCTCATAATGTGACTGCTGGACATCTGGAAGACAGATGACACAAAAGACATCTTAGGAACTTGACAAAATGTGAATTCCCTTGGGCCCCACCTAAGCCTGTCCATCTACAGATAAAGCCAGAAATCTGAGTTTCTGTTTTGCACACTGAAAACAAAAAAATTTTTTTTTTCAGTTTTTTGAGAAATGGTCTTGCTTTGTAGTTCAGGCTGGCTACGAACTCTCTATGTAGTCTGGGTTGGCCTCGAACTCGTGGTGAACCTCTTGTCTCAGCTCCCACCACTCCTGACCTTGTATACTGAAATCTGAAAACTTCTGCTACAGAAATAATTATTTATTAGAAAAACTATCTTCATAAAGCTTTTTCTTTGAAACAAATTCTTTGTTTGTTTCAAGACAGGGCTTTGGGTAATACAGGCCAGCCTTGAGTTCACTATGTAGCCCAGGCTAGCTTCAAATTCACAGTGATCCTCTTGCCTCAGCCTCCCAAGTGCTGGGATTAAAGGCATGAACCACCATGCTCTGCTTGAAACAAATTCTTTCAGTAAAAATCCTGTTTTAAGAAGTAAAGCTAGTTTGCAACTCTTAGTGTCATATTAAAATTAAGTGCAATTAAAAAATTTTTTTTTCTTAAGACAGGGTCTCACTATGTAGTTTAGGCTGGTCTTGAATTCATCTAAGTAGCACAGGCTGGCCTCAAACTCACGGTGATCCTCTTGCCTCAGCCTCTGGAGTACTGAGATCACAGGCATGCATTACCACGCCTGGTTTAAAAGTAATGTTCTAGTTGAGAAAATGTGGACAGAAAAACTATCAGTTGTCTAGAGCTATCAATCATGTGAAAATGTACATTTCATTCCAAGATGCAATCTTTTGTACTTAACACTGGAACCACATCCTACAGGAGTAGGGCATGTCTCATACTGCCTCTATTTCCCTCAGACTTGAACAGCACTCGGTATGTTGGCTGTTTGCACGAAACACTCATGGATCAACAATCTGGAAGTAGCTACAGGACGAGTAATAGTGCTTTTCAGTCATGCAGTGTCCAACTGTTCTTGTTTTTTCTAAGAAGCAGGGACTTCGTTAATTTGTGTCCAATATCAATTAACAGGAATCAACCTATTGATTTGGCATTTGCCAGTAGTTTTAAGCAGATTCTCCCATCATTTTAATCAGTGAAGAATGAGATACCAAATTAATTCACAACAGTAATACCTGCAATTCCACCTTTTTAAAATTTTATTTATTTATTTTTTGTCTTTTTGAGACAGGGTCTCACTATGCATCTCAGGCTGGTCTTGAACTCACTTTGAAGCACAGGTTGGCCTCAAACTCACAAGGATCCTCCTGCCTCAGCCTCCTGAGTGCTGGGATTACAGGAGTGTGCCACCATGCCCAGCTAATTCTACCTTTTAGAGCTAATGGACAAGCTAGTCACAAAATTACTGAGGAACTAGGTCACTGATACTGAAAAGCACATCCTGGAGAGCCATGTCTGGGCCATGATGAAGAATTACGGATTTCTTTGCCTAAACTTTATCTCAGCTGATGTTTCATAGCCAATTTTTCATACAGACTTTCTTCTCTAGTTTCTTTTTTTTTTTTGGTTTTTTTTTTTTTTTCTCCGGTACCGGGAACCGAACTCACGACCTTGCGCTTGCCAGGCAGGCGCTTTTGCCGCTGAGCTAAATCCCCAGCCCCTCTTTTCTAGTTTCAACAGGCACTTAAAACATTTTCTGGTGCCAAAGCAATCATCCCAACAGTGGGCACATTTATCAGCTTTAGCGTGTTCTTCTGGGCCTTAATAATACTGCACTAGGAAAGCTGTTATGTTTGTTATCTATTTCAGAGTATATCCTTTCAAAAGACAAAAGTCCTCCATCTTGTTTTATTTGGCCTTAGCCTAAGACCTGAGGCCTATGGAAACTTTGCACAAACAAGTGTAGATTCTGCCAGCATAGCAATTCAGTCCCTGACTTTGCTGTACCTAGTATGGGATTTTTGTATCAAAAACATCCTCAATCTCAACCTAACATTTTAAATGGGCCCTTAGGCAGTTCATCAATTTTCTAGGTGAAGAGGCATTATCTTCTGCCTTATCTGCGGGGTGCCAGGGGATCTAACCCACAATCAACTAAAGCTTTTCTGTCATCTAATACTACATATCATCTCTACTTTTAAGCTAGAAACCTGTATTTTTTTAAAAAAAATCTTACAGGTGTAGGACTGGGTCTATAGCTCAGTGGCACAGTGCCTGCCTGGCAAGCACAAGGTCCTACCTACTAACGAAAAAATTACATCATGCAGATCTTTCCTTTTTTTCAAATTATTATCTTTTTAGACAGAGTCTTGCTTAGTTGCCCTGACTGTCCTCAAACCTCCAACCCTCCTGTCTCCGACTCCTGAGTAGCTGGGATTACAGATGTGTGTCACTGTACCTGGTTTCAGTTCATTTTCAATTAGAAAATATATAGTCGTTAAAAACAATTCAGCCAGGCATGGTGGTGCATGCCTGTAATCCTAGCACTAGGGAGGCTGAGGCAGGAGGATCACCAGGAGTTTGAGGACAGCCTGGGCTAGTGAGTTCAAGTCTAATGAACTCAGCCTAAATAACACAGTGAGATTCTGTTTCAAAAAACAAAGTCCTTACTACTAAACAACAAGGTAAAGCAACAAACACCTTTTTATAAGCTAGCTCAGAGGCTTTGGTTTAAACCTTGCATCTACCTTTTCTTTTGTAGGGGATGTAGTACAGTACTAGGAACTGAACACTGGGCCTTCAAAACAAGCTCTATCACTAGTCTTCTTTGTATTTTTCTGAGATAGGGTTTCACAAAGTCACTTCGTTACTCAGGCTAGGCTCAAACTTTTGATCTTCCTGCCTCAGCCTCCCAGAGTCAGTACTGTACCACCACGCCTGGCTGACTCTGCCATTAATTGCTGGTGACCTTAAGTAAATTATTCAACTTCAGTTTCCTCAATTGTAAAATCACTAATTTGCTTCCCAGGGGTGTTGTAAAGATAGCATATGTAATGGAAAGGGGTTAGAACATGGTCTGGCACAGAATTAAAGTGTTCAGTAATTCCAGGTTTTTTTTTATCTTTGTAGCCAAGTATTACTTTTTTGTGCCAGATTCCTGGCTTTGGGACTTCATATTTAAAACTGTGATTTGAAAACTATCCTGTCTGTATCAGTCTACATTCTCCAACTACTACTTCCCCATTTCCTGCAAGCTTATCAACACTGAGTACTATCAGTCTTTTTACGTGTACGTATGTATTTGTTTTGGGGGCGGGAGGTGCTACTGGCAATCTAACCCACGGCTTTGTACATGCTAGGCAAGTACTCTACCATTGAGCTACATTTCCAGGAGCCATCTCCTCAATCTTCCTTTCTTTTACTTTTTTGAGACAAAGTTTCACCTAAATTGCATGGGCTGGCCTTGAACTTGTGATCTTTCTCCCTCTACAACCGAAGTAGCTAGGACTCCTGGCTGGTGCTAACATGCCCAGCCTCTTTTGATTCGTTAGCCAATCTGATACGGAAAAAACTGGCATTTTTTTGTTTCTATTTGTGTTTCTTTTGGGGGAGGGTACCAGGAATCGAACCCAGGACCCTGTGCTTGCCAGGCAGGCACTTGTGCCGCTGAGCTATATTCCTGGCCCTATTTGTGTTTCTTGACTGAAGTAGAATATCTTTTCACTTATTCCTTGGCCATTTGTAGATGTCTTTTTTCATGAACTAACTTCCTTTTTTTCCCCTTTCTTCCTTCTTCCCTCCCTCTCCATACATTGATTTTATATATATATATATCTTTTTACAGTAATGGGGATCCAACCCAGAGGTATTCTACCACTGAACTACATCCTGGTACTATGAATATGTACTGAGTGCTCCACAAAACTATGCATCAGTAGAAACTGCCACAGAGGGCTGGAATATAGCTCAGTGGTACAGTGCTTACCTAGAATGCATGAGGCCCTCCCTGGGTTCAATCCCTAGTACTGCAAAAAAGACAAAAAACCTCAACTGAGCAAACTGTAGCTTTATAAAGTATAAAAAAGGTTCCCAAGCTAAAATATGCAAATGAATGAGAAAGTAAGCAGCATCTAGGAGATGAGGGATGGACTGCTAAAAGCCTCCAGAAAGTGTGTTCCTGGGAAATCACTGAAAATGGGGGAGTCGGACGGTGTGGCGCCGATGGTGGCTCCTAACACCCTTTCCCAGTTGGGCAGGCAGCCTAGCTGGACCTCAGCTGAGTACTTCCTGGCTCCTTTGCTCCCAACCCGTCCTTCCAAATGTCTTTCTTTATCCTCACCTGCTTTGCTTTCTTCCTTTACATAGAACTTACCCAACAGTAGTTGTACATAAGAAGGGTTGTACATAAGAAGGGCTTACTCCTGACACCCTTAAACAAAGGTATTTTGTATTTTTGTGAACTTTTATTGGTACTCCCACCACCTCAACTGATAGTTTAATAACCAAACTATTTTTCCGAATTTGTACCCTAAGGAAAAAAATAAAGCCCATTCATGGTAAAACAGTAAATTATACATGAAACTAACAGAAAATATTGCAGTAACAAATTCTGGTTCATTTTCAATTGTATTCAGATTTGCTTACCATATATAAGCAGAACATGACAGACATGGGTTGGCATAATCTTTTGGAAAAACATCTGTGTTCAGCTTAAGTTAAGCTTGAAAGAATAACATATCCAAAGATGTTTGATAGTACTTTACATTTTTGTTTTAAATTTTTCTTGAGACAGGGTCTTGTTAAGATGTCCAAGCTAGACCTGAGTTTGTAGTCACCTTGCCTTAGCATCCTAGATTTCTGGGATTCCAAGGGTGCACCATCATGCCCAGCTTATACTTCACATTTTTTAGAAATATTTTTCTTGATTATAAAATTAATGTCCAGGCATGATGGCACACGCCTATAATCTCAGCACTTGGGAGGCTGAGGCAGGAGGACTACCTCTGGACGAGGCCTCTAGATGAGGCCAGCCTGATCTAGACAGTGAATTCAAGGTCAGCCTGAACTACATAGCAAGACTCTGTCTCAAAAAAAAAAAAGAAAAAAAAAAAAGCTGGCTGTAGTGGTGCACACCTATAATAACCCCAGCACTCAGGACGCTGAGGCAGGAGGATCATTGCAAGTTCAAGACCAGCCTGGGCTACAAAGTGAGCTCAAGGCCAGCCTCAACTGCATAGTGAGACCCTGTCTCAAAAAGACAAAAAATAAAAAAAAATTAAAAATTTAAAAAAATATATATATATTATATATATACTTAATACATGTGTATTAGATATTTGCAAAATTATTAAGTTTCAAAGTAGAATGAACCACTCAAAGTCAATTGAACTTACTAACTTTCCAGACAGTACTTCACTTTTTCTTCTAATTTTTACATAACAGAACCATACTACAAGTATCTACTTTTTCCTACTGATATAAACAGTGTCTCATACCTATAATACACCTTTAAAATCTACTTAAGTTTCCACAATGAATCTAATTATTATGTACTGCAAATATGTACTAACAAAAATACAAATCTGAAGAAAGAATCTCCTGAACAGAACTCTTGCCCAGGAACATACAAGCTGTTTTTTTGTTTGTTTGTTTGTTTTTCCGGTATCAGGAATCGAACTCATGACCTTGCACTTGCCAGGCGGGCACTGTGCCGCTGAACTAAATCCCCATCACTGTTTCACTTTACATTCTTTCATGTTAAAAGTTTGGGTGCTAAGGAACTATTTCTCTATCAAAATGGGCAATAAATAGAACATACCTTTCTCCGATCTTTAAGAATTCTGTCCAGACTCTCTTCATTAACTTTACTTGCGTAGTCATAAAAACTGGTTTTTTAGAGAGGAAAAAGTATTCTGTTAAAATCCCACCATACTATGACACAGATGTTCTACACACATGTATCTGTGGGGTATTTAACTCTAATAGAAATATAACTGCTTATCTTCATGTATATATAGAGAGAGCAGTCTACACGCTTTCCTCAAACAACGTATCTTTTTTGTCAAAGAATATTCATGATATTATTACATTCAAGAGATACTACTTCCACATGGAGGAGGTGCTGATAGCAAGTAATTACAAAATTACTTGGTTTTAAATGACTACGACATCTTTTGTTTCTAAGTATTAATTATTTACGAAAAAAGGTAACAGCAGCTCATTTTCTGAAAAATGAAGAAGAGAAACAAATGTTGAATGCTTAATAAGATACTCAACTACAAGACTTCACGGTATTTTTCACATCTCTCTTGCCTCACTGCACTTCTGTAGATATAGACACCGAAGTTAGCTGACCTGCCCCAGATCTAGCTACCTTCAAACAATGTGCTCACCTCCAAAACAGACCAATGCAACTGAGACCCTGTGGTGCATGGCCCAGGTACACTGATGTACAGCTCTTTCCTATCTCTGGTCAGTCTTTTATTATTTTTTTAAATTTTTTTTTATTTTAAAGAGAATTTTAAAAAAAGAACAATAGCAAAATGTCAACAACATAGACAAAAACAAAACAAAGCAAAACAGTAAGAATGATACAGGGTTTCAGAACAAAATGACTGGGATTAATAGCAGTTATTATATTACATATTTTTATCTTCATTGAAGTTGGTCAGATTACCTGATATAAGGCAAGATTAATCAAACCATTAAAGAGAATAAAAAATTAAAAAAATTATAAACAATATAGAGCTTCACCAAACAAGATGGTAGGAATTCACCAATAGCTGTTATGTTGCGTATTGTTGTCTTCAAATTAGTTATTCAGATTACCACATATACGCATACAAAATTGGTCAGAAAAAAAAAAATTAACTGTCCCTTTCAATAAAGCATTAGACATCAGCAGTACAGTTTGGTCACAGTCTTAATAATGGAATGCTCCTTCCACCACAAGCCTAGGCTCTAAAGGTAGGAAGAAGTTCAAGATGTAGGAGTAAACACAGACTCCAGAATCAAGAGATACCAGCTCCAGCCCCAGTTCTGCTTCTCAATGTAGGATGTGGGACAAGTCACTTATCCTATCTCGTCTCTGTTTCCCCTTTTTTTTACAAAAAAGGAATTTGGAAGTGACAGATGATTTATAGTTTCCTTCATTTCTAAGAATTTTAGGTCTCTGAATCAAACAGTCAAATCCTTGTTCTTGTACTACTTTGCTGACAGGGTTTTCAGAAATTCCTCAGGATAAGGCAGTCATGGGGTAACACTCTGACAGTCAGGGCCAGATTAAATACTTCCACAGACCAGAGATAGGCCATTTGTTATGGCCTATATCTAGATGTTACCCCAAAGCCTCATGTGGTCATAGGCAGGGCTTTTCAGAGGTGGCTGGCTCTACAGTATGTGATGCTGGGATTAAGGTTGTGATTACCAAATTAGTCCACTGTTTGGCTTGGCACAGGTCTGGGTGTGGATAATGGGAAGGCCCACCCCGGGTGTCAGTGGTGGCTGCCCTCAGGTCATACAGCTTGGATATAATGGACAGAAAGAGGGAGCTGTGGGCCCTTGTTGCTGTTTTTCACCTGCTACTTCACTGCTGGCTACCTGCTGCCTGCCATGGACTGTTTCTCCTCTGCCATGTGCCACCCTGCCTTGGAGCCAGTTGATATGAACTGAACCATCTACAAACTATGAGCTAAATAAACCTCTCCTCCTTTAACCTTGGCTGTCAAGTATTTTATCTCAGCATGAGAAAGGTAACTAACACCATTTATGGATCAGCACCTCAAGCATTTCATTTGCTGAAATTGTTTTCAAATGAACCAGTGGTTGCTCACCTAGCTTCCTTATTCCTCTTTCAGTCATGTGTAAATTTAAAAGAGGTGAGGTTCACAGGCAGCCATCTTGCATGAAGACAACCCTCTGCCACAATCCGTGGGTAGGGGTATGTATGTACAGTGAACACGGTACAAATTCCCAGGGTGGGAATTTGGAGAATTGGGTACAGGAAGCTGGGTATTTGGAGAATGGCCAGGGTAGAAGCTGCAGGGGACACATGGCAGAAAGAGGCAGAAGGGGCTGACAGAGGTAAAGGAAGAATATGCTGATCATGAATAGTGAATGGTGCTCATGTGAGTCTGCTAGAAAGAAAGTACTGCCCTGGCTTCCAGGAAGGGTGAAAAAGTAGCACTTCAGGGAGCTTTATAAAACACACAACTGAAATCATGCCAGCCATCAAGTGAAGGGTATCTGTGTTCTCTTATTTTTAAAAAATTTTATTTTATTTCATTTTATTTATTTGGTTGGTTTTTGTTTTCAGAGACAATCTTGCTATGTTGTCCTGGCTGGTCTTAAACGCCTGGACTTATACTCCTGAGACAGAGGTCTGTCTCAGCCTCTCAACGCAGCTGGCATTACAAGTGTGTGTCACTGTCCCAGACCCTTTTCTTACATTTTATAGTTAATCACTACATATGTGTTATTTCTTTTTTTAATAATTATTCATTTATATTTATTATAATTATTATTTATATTTTAAAATTTTTTTTTATTTTAAAGAGTGTAGTAAATGAGAAACAAACAAACAAAAAATAGAACAGTAGCAGCATCCCAGTATCATGAACATAAACAAATCAGGGCAAGAACATTCAAAGTGATACAGGGTCTAAAGACAAAATAATACGAATCAACAGTAGTTGTTACATTACATATTGCTATCCTCAACTACATTGCTCAGATTTCTCTTAAAAACACTCATGAAATTATTTTATCAATGTGCAATCGAGTGACTGTCTTTTCTAAGACTGAAGAAATTTTCACAGAGAGGCTGAGAGGGAAGGCCGCCATTTTAAATATCACTGAGACAACTTCCAATGTTTCCCCGGTCATTTTCCTCACATAATACAGTGCCATGCCCACAGTTAATACTCAATGAATAAATCCTTTTGGGCACCCCCAGCTATACTTGTAACTTTATAGCCAAAAATCAGCTACGGGCATAAATCTCTTAGTTTTTAATAAATTTTTAAAATAAGGACTAAAGGCTACAAGAAAGGATGTGGCTTACCTAAAAAGTTTTGAACAAGGCTGATGGTTATGGATTTCTGTAATTAGAAATAAGAATAGATCTTAGTCATGTAAGACACAGGCAAGTATAAAATAGTTGAGCTTTTTTTTTTCAAAAAAAAAAAGCAAACCCCAAATCTCAGACAAGAAAGACAGTTTTTCTCTCCCAAACAGGTACTGTATATATACCAATGACAGCAGTGCGGCTTCTTAAGATTTACACCCAGAGACATATTCTCAGGACAAAGCAGACGCAGAATGAGTTTGTCCAGGCATGATGAGCACACATCTGAAAGCTTTTATTCAGGAACATGCCTGTTATTGTGTGCCTTTTTCGAACTTACCTACTCAAACAGAGCATCACAGGAAAACATAACCACTGACTGGAAGCATTTAATCAAGTTGGATAAAAGCTTTGAGGACAGCTTGGGGAAAGAATGGCCTTAACTATGCTATCATCAATAACCGACTAACAACTCTTGACAAAGCAAGCCAGGTGTTTTGAAGGGGAAGTAACTCTGCAGGTCTGTTAACCCTTTCAAAGACAGTAAGTACCAAGGGAGAGTCATTTATAAAGCAGATCCCAACAGCATCTAAATAGCTGCTGTGACTAAGCAGAATGAACAATTTCTCCAAGCTCATCAGGGGCTTAGGGTCGGGGTTTCTCTAGAAGACCACAAGACTAATTGACCATTCAATTCCCTTTATCACAATCTCCCAGAGAGCAACACATCTTCTGCTGTTTCAAAAGTCACAGCCTCAGAGTTCCGGGTTGTAATTTTACCTCAATTAAAATGAATCCCAGCCTTGAAAGACATGGGGCGATGTCCATCAGCTTCTGTGCCTGTGTTAATGCCGCCAAAGTGCATGCAAATGCAAGACTTCCACAGGACAGAAGAAGTTATTTGCCTAATTGTGGCATTCATACAGTGATGCAAGTAAGAAAACCTAATCTAGAAAAATGTCCTCCTTTTGTAAAAAACAAAAATGATACAGCACACCATGTTGTTATTTCAGAGATAGTCATTAAGATGTGGAATATTTGTAGCAAACATACAGAAAAAACTCAGCTTTTACTTTAAAGAATACTACTGTTTAATGAAATCCCTGGAGAAAGTTCTGAACTCTATGTGCACACTCCTGCCATAAAACTGCCCAGGTAGTGTCCTTCATAATTTATAAGCAGGATTATAATCACAATATGGACGTGCTCCAGAGCTAGGGGGGTGCCGCTCAGTGGCAGAGTGCTTGCATAGCAAATGTTAAGACCTAAGTTTGATCCCCAGCACCACACACACACACACACACACACACACACACACACACAGAACACAAAGTTAGGTTCAGACATGTTCTAGTAACATGCTGTTTTCCGAAGGAAACTGAATTATTTCAAGATTTTTTGCAATTCCTCTAAGAACTTCAAGGAGAAAACAGGACACTGGTCTTGAACTGACAAAGTCACAGATTGTAATAAAGTTGAAGGACACATTAACTGACAGACCTGGGCAGCCTTGCCTGGCATTTCTAATTTCCTACTCCTCAACAGCTTATCCACAGGGAAGACCTCTCTTCTTGTACTGTGAAGGTCTTGCTAAAACCTCCCACCATATGGTACACTGCTCTTGCTTCCCTTCCTGGTGGGTGAGTTAAATACTCTCCTTCCCCTTCCATTCTTTCCAATAATTGTTACTCTGTTACCTTGTTACCTGAGGACCTTTTTCTGTTGCTCTCTCTTTCCAACCACTCCGAAAAGTAAGAACAGGTCTGCTTGAAATGAGTTTGCTGTTTTTTAAAATATGCATGCCAAACAACATGCAGACATTCCACATTCAAAATGTGGGATTTTGTATAAAGACCTCCTTATTGAAGAGAGTAAAAGTGTCTCTGTATTCATTTAAACATCTTCAACAAATAATAAATTTGGTCATGGTGGCACATGCATGTAATCCCAGCACTATGGAAACCTGAGTAATTTAGGACTGAGTGAGACCCTGTCCCCAAAGAAAAGAAAAGGTAAGGTAAAAATTTTTAAAGGTTGGGGATGTTCTCCCAAATAAGCAAGTATAGTTTTGGGGGTTTTGGCAGTACTGGAAATTGGACCCAGGATTTCTGCACTGAGTCATACCTCCAGCTCTTTTTTTAAATTTTGTGACAGTGTATCACTAAGTTCTGAAACTGCCTGGGCTGGGCTAAATTTTGATCTTCCTGCCTCAGCCTTCCAAAGTGTTGGGATTACTGTGTGTGCTACCACATCTAGCTAATTTTGTCAATTTATTTTACTTAGAACATCTTTTATTTTGTTTTTTAAGATAGGGTCTGTTTACCCTAGTTTGGCCACAAACTCAATCTTGCTGCCTTAGCCCCCTGAGTGCTGGGGTTAGAGGTATGAGTCACCATACCTAGCTTACTTAAAACATCTTAAGGAAATTTAGCTGTTCTAGAAACTTCTCACTATTCATGGCACTTAGCCTAATGTTGGGCTTTTCAATCAATCCAGGTTTTAAGTTGTCTCTGGTTTATATTTTCAGATAGACTATGTATTTATTTTTTGAATAAAAACATTACAATGGTAACAATACATTTAAGTATTAGCAAACAGCTAAGAATGGTGGCACACTCCTATAATCTCAGCACTTAGAGGCGGAGGCAGGAGGAGCAACACAAGTTTGACGCCAGCCTGGACTACACAGTGAGTTCATGGCCAGCCTAAACTACATAGTGAAACCCAGTCTCAAAAAAACCCTCAACCCCACCCCCCAAAAAATTAGCAGTTTGTCCATGAGCTCCATAATTGTATGCATCAATAAACTGAATATAGCTAATGAATTACAGACTGCATAAAAGCTGGCTGTCATTACAGTCATGACAGTCTATTAACTGTGACACTTTAAGAAACAGTTATGCCATTTGTTTTCCCCAAATACTGATACTACCTCAGGTCTCAACCTGACTCCCAGGCCATGCACCAGGCTCCCAGAAAGGCTTCATGATTTGGTCCCTCACATTTGATCCTTCATGATTTGACCCAGCCTGCCACCAGTACTCAAACCACAAACCTCTCGTCTTTACACATGCTGTGTTTTAGTCCCAGAGAAACAGGCCAGGTTCCTTGTATGTTTTATGCACTCCTTGCTCTGTGCTTCTCTGGATGTACAGCTGGTACCCACTGGTCCTCAGTTAACTTCTTTTATGATATCCTTACTGATTTCCTCTTCGGCAGTTTTTCTCTCTACCTCTGACACAGGATTTTCTTTGTTTCTTTCTTATTTTGCACTATCTGATATTTCTATTTACTTGTCTTATCCTCCCTATAGTTTTGAAAGGCAGGGATGCATCTGGGTATTCCTTTCTCTGCCTAGCGTAAGTGTCTCACAAGAAGTTCTTCAATAAATGCTGTGCAAATACATGAAACATCCCGTTTGTTCTGTGTAGCAGGATGTGCTATTTGGGCTCAAGAGGTACCTGAAAGGACTATGATCTCTATCAGAAAGAAACTAATCCAAAGAGAATGGGTCTAACTATAAACACTTCTTCCTCTTCACCCAGCAACCTTCCCCCAAAGTGATTATTTGGCTCATCCTTTAGAAGGCTGTGTAGGTTTAGGAAACACCTCATGTAAACAAGTGTGAACATTTTTGCCAGGTCCTCTAGAAAGGACCAGCATCATACAGCCATTCGTTATAATACGAAGTGATACTGGTGATGAAGAGAGCCTAATTTACAAACTAGATGTTTGCTAAGATTTCGAAGAAATAATCAAGTGGTCACCTAGTGATTCAATAAAAGGCCAGTTGGTAGCAAGAAATAACTTTATAGAATATCTACACTTATAGCTATGCAATATAAGTTTACACTGACATAAAATATCTCCTATCATTTATTAGTGAAAATAATTTTAGCTTTAATACTTTAATTAATTAATTAATTAATTTATTGGTACAGAGAATCAAACTCAGGACCTTGCGCTTGCCAGGCAGGCACTATGCCACTGAGCTATATCCCCAGCCCTAATACTTTTAATACCTTTGATTAAAATCAGTTAAGAGACAACAAAACAGTAACTGTATATGAAAGAAGAAATAAATTAATTTTTACTTTTAACACTTTATATTAAAATCAGTTAAGAGCTGGGCATGGTGGTGCATGTCTGTAATCCCAGTACTTGAGGCTGAGGCAGGAGGATTGCTCCAAGTTTGAGGCTAGCCTAGGCTGGAAAGTGAGTTCAAGGCCAGCCTGAACTGCATAGTGAGACACTGTCTCAAAAACACAAAAATAAATAAATAAAATAAAATCAGGTAAGAGCCAAAGAACAAAGCAAATAATAACTATATATTAAAAAAGGCTATTTCTTTCCTTTTTTTTGGTACCGGGAATTAAACTCAGGACCTTGTGCTTGCCAGGCAGGTGCTATGCTGTTGAGCTGTATTCCTGGCAAAAAAAGGAATTTCTAAGGTCAATGATAAAGTTACTTACCAATTACTTGCAGGAATTCTGTGTTGCTAATTTGTGAGTCACTGATGCTAAAGGTTTCCTCTTGTCTTACCTCTCCCAGCAAAAATCCTTCCTAAAAGTAACCAAAAAAAAATAGTTACAGGTTAAATGCAAAGGTAATTTTTACTAGAATTAAGAGGAATTGAGGATGTATAATTTTATAATTATTTTAACAATAATCTAAAGAAGCTTGCCGTATAGGTAACAATTTTATAAACCAACAGACTACAGTAATCTGAGAAATATCTGTTAATTGGATTGCTTGAAGGATTCTGTAATAAGATAAAATATTATTTTAACACCTTCATGTTTTTCCTGTTGTGGGGTGAATTAATCACCTAAATCCTAATGTGTCTCATAACCAATGTCAGAAAAATCTCAGGACACAGATACATCCCTAGGTTGTTTTCTCTTTTCTTTTTTTTTTAAATGTGGTACTAAGGATTGAACTGAGGGCCTTTGCATTGAGCTACATGCTCAGCTCTTTATTTCCTTATTTTTAGACAAGGTCTCATTAACTCATCAAATTGCCTAGACTGGGTTCAAACTTCAGATCTTCTTGCCTCAGCCTTCCAGAGTACTGGGATTGCAGGTATGCCAAAAGGAGTTATTTTTTTGAACAGCATACAATTTATTCCATTGCTTTAAAAATCCTGCTACTGATGGAAGGGTAAAGAAATGAACACAATGACAACAAAATGCTCTTGAATAGGCTGATATATAAAATTAAGATTTCAGCAAATAAATTTCGTATCGTTTACAGAAAACTTTTTCTTTAATACAGAACTTATCTGTACCTTTGCAGAATATCTCTTACCATAATCAATCTGAATTACTAAGCATATTATTTACTGTTTCAGTACTTGATGCCACGTTCAGCACAGGCACAGCTGGATAATGTCAAAATAACCTTCCTGAAGGGAGGATGACCTGATAAACTGTCCAGACTCTCTCTTCCGAGATACTCCTTCCCTTCATGGCTTATTCCTTCCCTTCATTCAGGTCTTTACTCAAAGGGTACCTCGTCAGCGAGGCAGGGCAAATCCAACAACATGGAAATAGCATCTGCTAAACACTGTGTCCTCTTTACCTTGGATAGGTTCCTTAGTATTATTCGCCATATTTTAGATTTACAGAAATAAGTAAATGCCTATCCCTGGCTAAACCGTAAGGCCCACAAGAGCAGTATGTCATGCTCACTCATTGCTCTCTGTTCCTAGCACAATGCCTAACATGCAGGTAAGTACCCAACAAATACTGGTTGTGCAATTATGTTGGAACAATTTCCCTGTAGAACATATGTTCAATTCTAGGTTGATTCATCAAATCAAATACTGAAGGTTCCTAGTTTACAACCATTTCCAGTAGGAAGTGCTAATCTGTCTAAGAGGGTGAAGAGACAGATGCTTCACAACTTCACTTCTGCATTTGACTTGGAGAGGGGAAGTGTCCTAAAATCCCAAACTATCTCATACAGGGCATTTCCCAAACTTGAGTAATATATAATTTCCATTTAAAAATTCTCAGACCCAAAAAAGTGTTGCTAACTACCAGTTTGAGGAACACCTACTAAATAAGCTTGTCTTACCCATGATTGTTTCAGTTATGAGTTGTCACTACAAAGAAGCTGTCTTGGTCAGGCATGGTGGCACACACCTGTAATCTCTGCACTCAGGAGGCTGAGGCAGGAGGATTGCTGCAAGTTGAAGGCCAGCCTATGAGTGAGTTCAAGGCCAGGTGGAACTGCCTGGGGAGACTGTCTTAAAAATAGCTAAAAAAAAAAAAAAAAAAAAAAAAAAGCTGTCTTGCAATGAGCAAAAACAAATTTTTTTAAGCAAAGTGGGAAAAAAAATTTAATATTCCCACAGAATTAGACATACAGAACATAGATATAAATTCTTAGTGTTCTACAGTTTAAGGGTCCAAGATTTAGCAAAAAGACACAGGAGTTAAATTTGAATTTCAGATAATTACAAATTTAAATGAGTTAAATTTGAATCTCAGATAATTACAAATATCTTAAATCTTACATAATTTATCTTTAACTCCACTTTAACTTAGATCCTATATTTTTCTGACAATCATAATAGTCCTCACTATGAGAAACAGTGACAATGAACATCATAAAGTCAAGTATGAATGTTTATTCATCTACTAGTCTGGATTATCTAACTCAATGTTACTTTATAGCAGGAACAGGCAAACTATTGTGCGGTAGCTAAATTCAGTTCAATGTCTGTTAATGTACAGTCTGCAAAATACAGTTTCTAATTTTTTAAATGGACAAAATAAAAACAGGAATATTTCATGAAATGTTAAAATTACATGAAATTCAAATTTTAGTGTCTATACAGTTTTATTGGAACACAGTCACACTTCTGAACTGTCTATAGCTATTTTCTCCCTATAACATCAGAATTAAGTACTTGGTACAGAGCTCATACGGCTTCACTTACTTTTACTATTTGTCTCTTTACAGAAAAAGTTTGCTAACCCTACTTTTGTAGAATAATGTGTGGTTCTGAATTAATTTATTTCTTCCTTTTTTTCTTTCTTAGAAAACAAAACATATAATTTAGGCTGGCCTTGAACTCATCATGTAGTGGAGGGTGGTGTTGAACTCACAGGGATCCTCCTGCCTCAGCTTCCTAAGTGCTGGGATTACAGGTGTATGCCACCATGCCCTCCTTTGAATTAATTTCTTGCATGAACAAAACAATTATTACGAAAAGTAAATTCCTAGGGCTGGAGATGTAGCTCAGCAGTACAGTGCTTGCTTAACAGACCCCAGGCCTTTGGTTCAATCCCCAGAACTGCAAAAGAAGAAAGAAAGAAAAAAAAAAAGTAAATTCCTGGTTGAACTTTAAAACTGAAATTACTTTTAGCAGGCTGGACACAGCCTTGCTTAGCATGCTTGAGGCCTTGGTTTTGACCCTCAGCACAGGAAAAAAAAAAAAAAAAGAGTAAGAAAGACTTACATATTACACACCCATAATCGTGGTAAGATTAATATGAACTGGCACTGTATATAAAGCAGTTGTGAACTATTGCTACTGGTGAAAATTTCCATAAGCTCCAGCAATGTGTCTGGAATAGAGCACAGTAAATACTAAGGGATAGTCCTTAAATTAATAACAACCTAAGTAACATGGCCCTCTCACTGCAGTATGTTCATTTTTGAACAGGTACATGCTTACTCTTACAGTAAGTTAGTCTTATAAATAAACTGTGGCAGCCGGGCGTGGTGGCGCATGCCTGTAATCCCAGCACTCGGGAGGCTAAGGCAGGAGGATTGTTGCGAGTTAGAGACCAGCCAGGGATACAAAGGTAGCTCAAGGCCAGCCTGAAATGCATAGAGAGACCCTGTCTCAAAAAAAAAAAAAAAACCAAAAACAAACCCAGAAAAATAAATAAACTGTGGCGTTCTTAGGCACTCTACAAAATAAGGGTAAAGAAGCATCACTGAATTTTTACTTAATAGCCCGTGGAATATTAGGAGTATCACAAACCACCTACATATTGAACTGCATTATTTGTCAAATAGCTGGCTGCAGAACCAAAGGCCAGGGTTTGGACTTGCCTCTGGGGAAAAATCTGTGCTGTACACATATTCTTATCATTAGGGTCTACCATCCACACTGAAGAGAAGTACAATAATTTAACTGCATTCCATTTACTAGTGGAACTGCCCTCTGTGAAATCAGCTTTTATTAATGGAAGCTAACACTGCTGACATCAAAAAGTCTGACTCCTCCTTCAGTGCATGATTTTGCTTTCTAATGACTGCCACAGAAAACCCACCCACTCATGTAATGAATCTGAAGCATTCGCTATTAACATCACTTAAAATAACTCCCTCCTCAATTTGGTGGGCAAATTAAATGCCTCCTTTAAGAGAAAAAAATACTTAGTTTCACCAAAAATTTCCCAGTAGAGAGGCTGGTGGGTGACATTAAAAGGCAATTCGCACAGTAAACACACTGAAATAAGAGAGGATCTGCTCCCCTTGTGGGCTCCAAAGCCTCTGCATTTCTGATTACTCAGACGTGGGCCTGTCACTTCCCTATTTCACCGCCACTAGTTCCGTGGTCTTAGAACCTTCGCCAAGGAACCAAACATGCAACTTCACGGAAATGTAAACAGACCCCTGCACCTAACACTCCTGTTTACATTCTGCATTTTCCACTGGGGCGAAAAAAAAAAAACAAACCACAACCGCGTCTAACAAGCACGAATAGTGACAGCCATGGTTTAACCCACGACAACATGTGAAAGCAGAGGGCGGGGTTGGACGCGGGTTCCACGCTGAACGCCCGGCCTCTCGACGGCTTCCAGACCCCTGGCGCCCCTCGTCAGTCCACAAGCCCGACTCGGCGAAGGGCGGGCGTTCAGTGCTACCACGCGGCTCCTGACACTGCGAGCGCGCGGGAGGGTCAGGTTTGCTGGATCGGGGGACTGCTGTCCCCGGACGGCCGGGAGGCGGAGGGCGTAGAGTGAGGGGGTCCACCGGGGGCGAAGGAGCTCCTCGGCGGCGGGAGCCGCCTGGGTCACCAGCTCAACGGGCCCGCCCTGGGGCCCCGGGGGACGATCCGGCTTTGCCGCGGGCGCTGGCCCGAGGCGGAGGGTGAAGGCCCCAGCGGCCGCGGCAGGGGACCCGGCACCTACGTGGTCCGCGTTGCTGTTGGCGCTGTGGAAACACACAGCGCTGAAGGTGTAGCCCGAAATGGAAGCCGCCATGATGGAAATCTCCAACTCCCCCATCATGCCCCGCGGAGGGCGCACAGCCTTCCGGCCGCTTTCCCCCTGGGCATTCTGGGAAATGGAGTCAGCGGCGGCGAAGGCGGTAGTCGGAGCTCGGAGTGGGAAGGGCTAAGGAATCCAGGCTCGCGCTCCAAAGTATCCCGCAAGGTCCTCTCCGCACGCCTCAGACTCCGCCTCCTTTGTACCTCTCTTCTAGTTTGCCCCCGTTGCCAGCGAAACTTGCAGTATTAAAAGACAGTTTTTACGGAACTGAAATATAAAAAGTAGATGATTCAGCCAACTGAACGTATTTGATTTTGAGTTTGACATGAGAGTGACATGATGTGATTTCAACTTTAATGAGACCATTCTGCCTGCGAGGTTGAGGCTACAGGGCCAAAGGGAAGGAAGAGGGGAAATAGAACCCGTCCTCAAATATCTCAATACGGGGTGATGGTAGCACGGAGTTAGTAAGTGGCGAGGGTTCTGGATACAAAAGAATGCAGATCTAATGAGAAATATGGAAAGATAATACCAGCAATAAATAACGGTGAAAATAAACTATCAAAATTAGAAAATGTAGAGAAGAAATTCATAATTATTTTTTAATTTGTTGACTTTTTCATGTTCAAAACTGGCCTCCTGATTTCCCACAAAGTTCCTTATCTTGCACTCTTTTAAAGTCAGCAAATAGAACGGTCTGCTGACAGTTGCTCAAGTGATGAACTTTGGACTTATCCTTGACATCTCCCTTTCTCTCACACCCTACATGTGATCAGCTAAAACAGTCGTCAACCCATGTCAGGAACCTCGCCAGCAAGGGTGTTGCATGCCTGTGATCCCAGCTCTTGAGAGGAGCGTCTGAAATTCCAGGCCAACCTGAACTAGAGTCCTCAAAAAAAAAAAAAAAAAAAAATTGTATACATCAGGAAAAGAAAAACTCATAAATGTTTTAATACTAAATTTATTGAGACATCATGAGATTAATACAACCTATCTTTGGTCTGTACAATTATGAAAGGTGCTCAAAGTGGTGGCCATTAGCTTCCAGATATTTATTAGTATGGCTAATATATGTATACATTTTTTTCCTCGATGGACTCTATATAGCAAGACTCTGTCTCAATCAATAGATAGATCTCCAGAGTCCCACAGTTCACCACCAGCACATCTGCCACACTGGTACAAACCACTATCATCTGTCTCCCAGTTATCATAATATTATTAACTCAAAGAGTCCCAATTGTTGGCAATTTTGCCCCTTAGAGAATTGTTGGCAGTATTTGAAGTCATTTTCCAACGTGAAGCTAAAAAAGGGTATCATAACTCAAAAAAGGCCCTGTAACAAAGAATTATCCTTTCCTAGGCTGGGGATATAGCTCAAAGGTAAGAGTGCTTCCCTACCATTTAAGAGGCCCTGGATTTGGTCTATCCCTCCCAAAAAATTGGGATACATTAATAAAAGAAGAAATTGAGCCAGAGGTTCTGGCACAATTTGGGGTCGGGGGTAGCAAAAATGAGAAGAGATGAGTAGCTGGGTGTGGTGGTGGACCCCTGTAATACCAGAATTCAGGAGGCTGAGGCAAGAGGAGCATTGTGAGTTCAAGGCCAGCCTAGGCTACATATGAGTTCAAGGCCAGCCTGGACTCAGAGCAAGACCCTATCTCAGAAAAGAAAAGCAACTTTCAGCGAAGCATCTATACAGATAAAACATAGTAATGTGTATAGTGGTTATAAGCGAAGTCTTTAGTGCAGACTGCTTAGATTCCTATCTCAGGTCTGGCACTCCGTGTGTATGCTTGTTTCTTCTCTATGAACAGATTCATAGAGGTTTATGGCATGAGTACGATGCTAGTATCTGCTTGTGTGGCTTTCTTCGGGCATAATTAAGACAATAGACTGCATGTATTTAACACAAGTTCATGGCACACACTGACAACTTATGATTGCTAGCCATCATTTCTATTACTAGGAAGTAGTTTAGAAGATAGGAGATCTGTAAGCATTGACAAGAAAAGACCTCCAAATACATTGCCACAATATTGACAAGCTGCAAACACTGCAAATAGTAAGTTTCCATTTATATATATCAAAACAAAACAATTATTTCTGCCTGTGTATACATGCATGGGAATGCCACACTCTTCTCTGATGGGTCTAAAAACAAGAACAAGAAAGGCCAGTTTCGTTTTGATTATGCCAATTTTGTAGCTAAGGAAACTGAGATTTAAGAGGTTTAAATTAAGTAACTTTTCTAAGGTCATTCCCAGAACAAATTAAATTATGATTGAAGTTCAAGTTGGCTTAACTCTGTGGTCCATGATCAGGAAGGAAAATGCCAAGGAAAGGGAGGAATGATGTCAGACACTAAAGGAAAGGAAACTGGCTGAGTCTTGGAGGCCTTTTGGGGGTAAGTGAAGGGAGCTGGGCAGACCTGAAGCCTTACAAGGGGCCTAGTGCTGAACAGCTCCTGTGATGCTCATTCAGAAGCTGCTGCAAGGGTGTCAGTGCGCGGGGAGCCTGAGTGGCGAGAAGGAAGAGTTGTGACAGACAGAGAAATATCCCTGAGTTTGGAGACTAAGCAGAGATTGTGCAAAGAGGGAAGCACAAGAATGATGCTCCACTCTGAGTGACAGTGTAGATGGTCACGGACCAAGGGACTGTAGAACACCTAACACAGGGTTTGGAGTCACGGGAGGCAAGTGAATTTGCTTTTATTGAGTTTGTGTGTATTGAGTTGCTTTTATGGAGTTTACTGAGTTAATGTAACAAGGGACTTCCAGGCAACTGCAAGAAAAATATAGAGCTGGGGCAAGAGAATAAAATTGAAAGTTACTACAGGGTTGGTACCAGAAGTGTTTGAGATTTTAGAGTTTTGAGATTTTAGAATATTTGCATAGACTTTAATTATTGGGCTTCCCTATCTGAAATCTGGTTTTTTTTTTTCCGGTACCGGGGATCGAACTCACAACCTTGCTTTTGCCGGGCAGGTGCTGTGCCACTGAGCTAAATCCCCAGCCCCTCTGAAATCTGAAATGCTGCCAAATCTGAAATATTTTAAGTGCAAAGTTTCAGATTTTGTCTTTTTGAGACAGGGTCTCCCTATGCGGTTCAGGCTGGCCTTGAGCTCACTTTGTAGCCCAGGCTGGCCTCAAACTCTGCAACGATCCTCCTGCCTCAGCCTCCCGAATGCTGAGATTACAGGCGTGCACCACCACGCCTGGCTAAAGTTTCAGATTTTGAAGCACTTTGTTTTTTTTTTTTTTGGCTTTTCTCCGGAACGGGGAACTGAACTCACGACCTTGCGCTTGCCAGGCAGGCGCTTTTGCCGCTGAGCTAAATCCCCAGCCCCTTTGAAGCACTTTGGATTTTGAATTTCTGGATTAGGGAAGGTCAACCTACAATAAGAATGATAGCTAACATTTACTGAACACTGACTGTATGTTGGGTCCCATTCTAAGCTCTTACACGTACAGTGTATTAGCTTAGTTACTCTTTCTTTTTTTTTTTTTTTTTT